AAAAAAAGTAAGTTAAAAAAGAAACAGAAAAGGAAAAAGAAAAAAAAATAAACAGTCGCCCTAACGGGAATACTCAAGACAAGGAGCAAGAGCGAAAAAAAAAAAAAATGAAAAAAAAAACAAGAAACGCGTTAAATAAAGAAAAAAAAAAAGACGCGGGGAAAAAAAAAAAAAAACATTAACAGGTCGCCTAACGAATACAAGACAAAAAAAAAAAAATAATATAATAATAAAAAATAAATAAATAAATAATAAAATAAAATAAAAAAAAAATAAATAAATAATAAACAGCTGACTAACAGCCTGCAAGCGCCCGAAATCCCTCCAAGCCATCCCAAGCCATCTCAAGCCATCCCAAGCCACATCCTGCACGCATCCTTGCCTCAGTGCAACCCGGGGAGGAGCGTCTCGATGAAAGCGATGAAGAGAACAGAAGATAGAAAGATAGATGATAAATAGATAGATAGAGAGATAGAGAGAAGAGAGAGAGAGAGAGAGAGAGAGAGAGAGAGAGAGAGAGAGAGAGAGAGAGAGAGAGAGAGAGAGAGAGAGAGAGAGAGAGAGAGAAGAGAGAGAGAGAGAGAGAGAGAGAGAGAGAGAGAGAGAGAGAGAGAAATAGATAGATAGATAGAGAGAAAGCGATCAAAAAAGAAAGAAAAAAAAAAAAAAGAGAGAGAAAAAAGGAAGACGAAAGAAAGAAAGACCCCCCCCCCAAAAAAAAAAAAAAAGAAAAAAGAAAAAAAAAAAAAAACACAACCACGAGGACGAGATAATGCTCAAGGGTTAACATCTGCCCATTTTTTTCTCCTCCTCCTTCCTCCTTCTTCGTTGTTTTTCTCCCCCTTGAAGTGTTCCCTGACCCTTAAATCAGAATGACCCTGGTAACCCTCTCTCTCTCTCTCTCTCGCTGACCCTCTCATTAGACTCCTCCCCTTCCTTGCTCGGGTCTCCTTCCTTCCCTCCTCTTCCTTCCTTCTTATCTACTCCGCCTTCTCCTTCTTTTCTTCTTATCTATTTCTACTTCTCCTTCCTTCCTTTTATCTACTCCGCCTTCTCCTTTCTTTCTTCTTATCTATTTCCTCTTCTTCTCCTTCCTTCCCTTTTGTCTACTTCACCTACTCCTTCTTTTCTTCTGATCTATTTCTCCTTCTCCTTCTTTCCTTTTTGTCTATTCCGTCTTCTTATTTTCTTCTTATCTACTCCGCCTTCTCCTTCTTTTCTTCTTATCTAATCCGTCTTCTCTTCCCTTCCTTCCTCTCGACTCCCTTTCTCCTTCCTTCCTTTTTATCTACTCCGCCTTCTCCTTCCTTTCTTCTTATCTAATCCCTCTTCTTCTCCTTCCTTCCTATCTATTCCACCTTCTCTTTCTTTTCCTCCTCTTCCTTCCTTATCATTTACTCCCCTTTCTTCTCCTTCCTTCCCTCCCTTTTCTTCCTTCTTTTCTACTTCCTTCTTCTCTTTCTTTTCCTCCTCTTCCTTTTCCTTCCTTAATGTTTATTCTCCCTTCCTCTCCTTTTCATTCCTTCCGTCCTTTTCCTTCTTTTATCTACGTTGCCTTCCCCCTTCCTTCCTTCTTATCTACTCTCCCTTCTCTTCCATTTTGTTCCTCTTATCTCCTCTTTCTTTCTTTCTTTCTTTCCTTCCGTCCCTCAATTTCCTTCTTCCTTATCTCCTCTCCCTTCCCCTCCTTCATTTTCCTTCTTATTTACTCTCCCTTCTCTTCCCTCTTCCTTCCGTCATGTCCATTCCCCATTCTCTCATTTTCCTTCTTATCTCCTCTCCCTTCCCCTCCTCCTCTCTCTCACAACTCCCTTTCCTTTTCTCTCCCTCTCCTTATTCCCCTCTTCTTCTCCCTACCCCCTTCCCTGTTCTCTCCCTCTCCCTTCCCCTTCCCTGTTCTCTCCCTCTCCCTCTCCCCTTCCCCCTCCCCCCCACGGTGACACATTAGGCATTTACCCAAGACAACGCAGTATATGTGAGGATTGGGAGAGGGGGGCAGGGATCGAGGTAGGGGGAGAAGAAGAGGGGGAGTAGGAAGAAGAAGAAGAAGGAGGAGGAGAGGAGGAGGAGGAGGAGGAGGAGGAGGAGGAGGAGGAGGAGGAGGAGGAGGAGGAGGAGGGTAGAGGAGGGATCGTACATAAAGAGTACTTACCCTCCTTCCATACCAATGCCCCTCCCCCCTCCCCCCCTTCCCTTCCTTACCCTCTGATCTCCCCCCTCTCACCCCCTCCCTTCCCCTCCCCGCCCCCACCCCTCTGTAACAAGACTAACACGCACAGCTTCCTTAAAACGACGAAGACGACGATCTCTAAACGACCCCAGGGCTGATGACCACCCCTCCCCTCCCATCTCCTCCCCCCCTCCCCACCCTTCTCCTTAACCACCCTCACAATCACCCCCATTATACATTAAAGCTTAACGACTCCCCTACCCACCCACCATCCACTCACCCCTCCACCCCCCGCACATCCCTACCCACCCTACCCATCCACTCCCCCATCCCTCCTCCACCCTAACCCCTAACCCCTATCCGACATCCACCCTCCTCCACCCCCCACCCCACCCCCGCCCCCATCCTACCCCCGTGAGAACCATGACTAGCGGGTATATTTTCGTCCTGTAATCTACTTGGCTGTCAGAAGCAGTCAGTCCATCACAAGACGAGGGGGAGGGGGGTGGAGGGTAGGGAGGGAGGTAGAGGGTAGGAGGAGGGAGTGGAGGGTAGGGAGGGAGGGGTAGGAGGGAGGGTAGGGGAGGGAGTGGAGGGAGGGAGGAGGAGGAGGAGGAGGAGGAGGAGGAGAGGAGAGGGTAGGAGGGATGGAGGTAGGGGAGGGAGTGGAGGTAGGAGGAGGGAGTGGAGGGTAGGGGGAGGGAGTGGAGGGTAGGGGAGGGAGTGGAGGGTAGGGAGGGGAGGGAGGTAGGAGGAGGTGGAGGGTAGGAGGAGGAGTGGAGGGTCGGGGGAGGGAGTGGAGGGTAGACGGAGGGAGGTAGACGGAGGGAGAGTGATGGAGGGTAAAGGAAGGAGATGGAGGTAGGGGGAGGGAGTGGAGGGTAAAGGAAGGAGATGGAGGGTAGGGGGAAGAAGTGGAGGGGAGGGGAGGGAGTGGAGGTAGGGGAGGAGGTGGAGGTAAGCGGAAGAAGTGGAGGGTAAGCGAAGAAGTGGAGGCGAGGGGAAGAGGTGGAGGGTTGGGGAGGGTAGAGTGAAAGCAGGGTTAGGAAGTGGAGAGTAGGGGGAAGATAGAGTTTGGTGGAGGGTAGGGGGAAGGTAGGAGGAGAGTAGGAGGGGGAGGGAGCGGGGTAGTGGGGAGAAACAGAGATAGGGCCGGGGGAGGGAATACGGTAGATAGATTAATAAAAGGATAGATGTATGAATATAAAAAGAGATACGTAGAAGTACACACGAAGAAAAACACAGAAAAAAGATGGACAGGCAACTGGGCAAACGGATGAATAGACAGATAGACAAACAAATGTACACATTCAGAAAAAAATACCAGATAGATGGATAGACAGCTCGGCAGATGAAAAAAAATAGACAGATAAACAAATGATAAAGGGATAAGTTCAGGATGATGGTCACAATGGAAAGACAAAAAAGATAAAGGAATGGTAAAGGGGAAGGGAGAGGGGAGGGAAGGGGAAGGAAGGAGGGGGGAGGGAAGAGGTTGGATAAGAGGGGAAAGAAGAGTGGGGACGGGGGGAGGAGAGGGGGAAGAGGTGGGAAGGGGGAGGGAGGAGGGAGGGGGAGAGGGGAAAGGGGAAGGGAAGAGGTGGGAAAGGGGGGAGAGGAAGGGGAAGGGGAGGGGAAGAGGTGGTGAGGTGGGGAAAGGAGGTGCGTGTACCGTATCTCTCTTTCTCTCTCTCTTTTTTCTTTCCATTTCTCCTCTACTTCCTCTCCTCTTCTACTTCCTTCTCCTTCACCTTCCAAGGATCCGCATGTAAATCTTACCCAATTCTCTCTTTTTCTCTCTCTTCCTTATCTCGTTTTCATTTCCCCTCTTCGCCCCCCACCCTCTCTCGCCCTTGTCCCCTTTCCCCTCTCCTTTTCTCATTTCCTTTCTTCCCCTTTTTCATCTCTTCACCTTTCCTTTCTTCCCCTCTTTCATCTCTTCATCTTTCCCTTTCCCCTTTTATCTCTTCACCCTGCCTTTCCCCACTCCTCTATTTCCCCTCTTCAACTCTTCACTTTCCCTATTCATCGCTTCATCCTTAGCCTTTCCTCCTCCTCCCCTCCTCCTCCTCCTCCTCCTCCTCCTCCTCCTCTTCTTCTTCTTCTTCTTCTTCCTCTTTCCTCCTCTTCTCTTCCTCCTCTTCCTCCTCCTCCTCCTCCTCCCTCCTCCTACCCCCCCCCCTGGCCCACGCAAGACGACCTTGGACATTCAACTCCTCGGACGCTCGTGACGTCATGAAGGGGGGGGGAGGAGGGAGGGGTGGAGAGGAACGGCGGGAGAGGAAGAGGGGAAGAAGGAAGGAATGGAGGAGGGGAGGGGAGGGAAGGGATGGAAGGAGGGGAAAGGGAGGGGAAGCAGAGAAGATGAAAAGGGGGCAAGGGTGAAGGGAGAGAGACGATAGGAGAGAAGAGAAGAGAGAAAAGAGAAGACAGGCGCGAGGAGAGAAGAGAAGAGAAGAGAGAAAAGAGAAGACAGGGGCACGCGAAGAGAGACGATAGGCGGGAGAGGAGCACGAGAAATGGTGTGTGTGTAGGGGGGGAGGGGGGAAGGGGGGAGGACAGGGGTGGGGGCGGGCGTGCATGACCTCCTCCGACGCGGGCGGCTGGGGGGAGAGGGGAGGACGGGGGTTTGTGCGGGCGTGCATGGAGAGGGGGGGGGAGAAGGGGAGACGGGGGGTATTTGGTGCGGGCGTGCATGACCTCCTCGACGCGGGCGGCCGGGGAGAGGGGGGAGGACGGGGGACGGGGGGCGGGCGTGCATGACCTCCTCCGACGCGGGCGGCCGGAGGGGGGGGAGAGGGGGAGGACGGAGGGACGGGTGCGGGCGTGCATGACCTCTCTGACGCGGGCGGCCGGGGGGGGGGGAGAGGGAGGACGGGGGGTATTTGGTGCGGGCGTGCATGACCTCCTCTGACGCGGCGGCCGGGAGAGGGGGAGGACGGGGGGGACGGGGGGCTGGGCGTGCATGACCTCCTCGACGCGCGGCGGCCGGAGGGGGGGGGGGAGAGGGGGGACGGGAGGGACGGGGTGCGGCGTGCATGACCTCCCTCTGACGCGGGCGGCCGGGGGGGGGGAGAGGGGAGGACGGGGGTATTTTGGTGCGGCGTGCATGACCTCCTCTGACGCGGGCGGCGGGGAGAGGGGGGAACGGGGGACGGGGGCGGGCGTGCTGACCTCCTCCGACGCGGGGCGCCGGAAGGGGTGGGGAGAGGGGAGACGGGGACGGGGGTGCGCGGCGTGCATGACCTCTCTCTGACGCGGGGCGGGAGGGGGGAGAGGGGAGGACGGGGGGTATTTGGTGGCGGGCGTGCATGACCTCCTCTGACGCGGGCGGCCGGGGAGAGGGAGACGGGGGACGGGGGGGCGGGCGTGCATGACCTCCTCCGACGGCGCCGGAGGGGGGGGGGAGAGGGGAGGACGGGAGGACGGGGTGCGGGCGTGCAATGACCTCCTCTGACGCGGGCGCGGGGGGGAGGGAGGACGGGGGCGGGGGGCGGCGTGCATGACCTCCTCTGACGCGGCGGCCGGGAGAGGGGGAGGACGGAGGGACGGGGGCGGGCCATGGACCTCCTCCGACGCGGGCGGCCGGGGGGGGGGAGAGGGGGAGGACGGAGGGACGGGGACGGGCTGTGATGACCTCCTCTGACGCGGGCGGCCGAGGGGGGGGTGAGAGGGAGGACGGAGGGACGGGGGGGCGGCGTGCATGACTCCTCTGACGCGGGGCGGGGGGGGGGAGAGGGGCGAGGACGGGGAGGACGGGGGGGGGCGGCGACCTCCTCGGCGGCGGGGGGTGGGAGGGGGGGAGGACGGGGGACTGGGACGGGCGTGCATTGACCTCCTCTGACGGGCGCCGGAGGGGGTGAGAGGGGGAGGAGGGAGGACGGGCGACGGACGGGGGTGGGCGTGCATGACCTCCTCTGACGCGGCGGCCGGGGGGGGGGAGAGGAAGCGGGGGAAGGGCGGGGTAGATGGGGGTGCGGGCGTGCATGACCTCCTCGACGCGGGCGCCGAGGAAACAAAGCCCCCCCCAAAGGCCGATTTCCGAGCGAGAGCGCGTAATTGGCTCCACCGCCGACGGGGCTTCGGCGAGAGTGGAACCCGCAAGCGCCATGGCCTCCTCCTCTAGAGGCTCCTCGATCTCCCGAAACCTCTTCCCTTTTCCCGCTTCTTTTTCCTCCCTTTCCTTATACTTCTTTACTCTCTTTTGTCATTCTTCCTTTTCCTTTTCTTCCTCCTCCTCCTTCTCCCTCTTCTTCTCTCCCTTACCCCTCCCCCTCCCCCCTTCCCCCCCTCCCCTCCCCCCTCCTTCTCCCCCTCCCCCTCCCCCTCCTTCTCCCACTGCCCCCTACTTTCTCCCCCTTCCCTTCCTTCCCTTCCCTCCTTCTCCCCTTCCCCCCTCTCCCCCCTCCTTCTACCCTCCCCTTCCCTTCCCCCCCCCTTCTCCTCCTCCTCCCCCCTCCCTCCTCCCCCTCCTTCTCCTCTGAAAGTCCTCCCTTTCCGAGTCCTTCACCCTTGAGACGTTCACAGAAGACGACTCTCCTGCAACGTTCTCCATTCATTATGATTCGTTTTTTTTATCGAAATTCGTCTTTTTTTTTTAATTCATGGTAAAAAGAACACACAAAAAAAACTCCAAAGACAAACGATCGAGAAACGTTTAAAGTATATTAAGTATATTAAAGCATATCAAAAATAAAATAGAATGAATAATAATAAAAATATATATAAAAAGTAAACACAAATTAAAGAAAACAACAAAGCGAGATCCAAAGTATATAAAAAAATATATCAAAACGAATAATAATAATAAAAAATATATATATAACAAAAAACAAATAAATAAAAATAAATAATAAAAATAAAATAAGATAACCATCGAATAACGAAAAAAAAAATACACCAAAACGAATAACAATAAAAAAAACATAACAAATAAAAAAAATAAAAAATATATCAAAACGAAAAAACAACAACACAACAAAACAACAAAAAACAAAACAACAAAAATGACCCTCAACCCTTTTGCAAGCGCCACAGGTGACACGGTGCCACGATACCTGCTTCCTGTCCCTCCCGAACACCTGTAGGAAATCTCTCTTATCCCAGCGCCTTGAGTGGAATCTTGCTGTCAATTACACCACTCGAGATTCGTTTTTATTGTCCTTATCACTATTATTATCATTTAATTATCATTTTATTCGTTATCATTATTATTATCATTGTTATTATTCTATCATCATTATCATTATTATTATTATTATTATCATGTTGAAGTGATTATCATTATTATTTTATTATTATTATTTTTATTATCATTATCACATTTCCTCTCTTCACGTCTTCCCTTCCCCTATTCAATTCGTTTCTCCTTCCCACGTTTCTTTCCCCATTTCCCTCACTGACTGATTCTTCTCTCATCCTCCCCTCTCCTCTGACTCATTTCCCTTACAATTTCCCCCTATTTCCTGTCCCTTTCCCCTTGCCCCATTTCCCTTTCCATTCCTCGCCCTTTTCCCCCCTCATCCCCCTTTGTTCACCCCCCATCTT